AGTTGTTGTGACTTGGCGCTATATAAATAAACTGAATTGAATTGAATTGAATTGAACACCAACACTAAGGTGCTCAACAAATAAGGGTATCCCCTTACCTGACACTACCTGGATTGGATACCATGTACCTAGAACCAGCTTTTGTCAGCACCCAGCCTGCATGTTCTGACTCCATGTAGAGGTAGCTTCCTGTAGGAAGTTATCAAACTAAAGAAGTCAGCAGATTGTGTTTAATCTCCACTTCATCACAGTCTCCCATCCTGAGCAGCACATTTGGTGACAGTGGAGAGGAAAAAACTCCCTTTTAACAGGAAGAAACCTCCAGCAGAACCAGGACAGGCGACCATCTGCCTCAACTGGCTGGGTTTGGGGGGACTGGACAGATAGATYGATTCTACAGTGTAATAGTGCATGCACTGGAACTAACTCTGTACTGAAAAATCTTTCTTAGAGTAAAACTCTAACCCAGCTTTTCATTAGACCTGTCTTTGTTATGTGAAACCAAGCTGACACTACTGTCTGATTTAATCTTTTTTTGATTTGACAAAAGCAAACAAAAGAATCATTATATTCAGTAACGTTTTTTTCTTTTCACAAGGTTTTATTTAATTGATTAATTGATCACAGTATTTGAACCTTAAATATTTGATCTGAAATGTAATTTTAAACACGAAACATGAACAGCTACCGATAACAAAGAATTTTTTTCCCAAAAGAAGCAAGTTGACCCTGAGAATAAAGCTTTTATTTTGATGAGTCATGGCACCTGCTGTAAGCAGCCAGCTGAGAGACAGAAAAATAAGAGTCTATCTTTCCTGCTGGAGCTGTTGAGACATCTTCAGATCGATGAGCTGACCATCTGAGAAATGGAGTTTATTTCATTTTAAGCTGCAGAACATTATTAAGCTGATGATGTGTGCCCAGCTGGGATCAGCTGACTGAGGCTGTTTGGACAGGAAGCCACACCGTCCCTACAGAACCTGCTCCTTGCTCTCTGAGCGATGACCTCACAGACTGTTCTGAGTTGGTCTGGAGACAGAGAAACAGGTCCAACAGTAAGCCGGGCCACCTCAGAAGTGACAAACGTAATTGTCTCAAACAGTCTGTGATGGTATCAAACTGTAGCTCTCTTAAGGAATCACAAAAATCACATAATTTTTAAACACTTAGACACTTCTGGATGTTTGGGGTTGTGGTTTTTTAATTTTATGGTTTGTTTTGTTTGTTTTGGTTTATGATTTCATAGTGTTTTTGTCCTTCTGTGCAGCTTCCTGGTGAAGTTTAGGTGATTGTCAGCTGAGTCTCAAGGAGACTCCTCCGATGACAATCATATTTTTGTTTATTTGTTCCTTTCTGAGTTTATGGTAAGCTGGGGAGGGGGTATTCTGCTACCTCGAGCCTGGTACGCCACAAAGACATATTTGAGGGAGAATTCACCCGTCTGGGTTTTGCTGTTGAGTTCCTGGGAGCTGAGAGTTGCTGTCTAACAACGTCTATGTCATTCACAGGAGGACTAGATCTGAGCTTACTTTAGGGTTTAGCTTAGGTGTAACAAGAGGAGGGGGTGCTGTTTCTTTTAGTTTAATTTATTTAGACTTTGGGTTTAGCTTTTGTTTGTTATTTTTTGTTAAACTTTTATTTTTTGTTTTTTTCTCTTCATTGCACAAGCCAGTTCATGCCAGTAATCCATACATTTTCTGTTCATGCCTTATGGGCACTGTGGGTTTTGTTTTTTAGTGATTTTGAATTGATTGGGGTGGGAACTGAATTTTGCACATTGTCCTAATTTGCATTACTTAAGGTTCATTTATTGACAACTAGTTGTTATTAAGTTAACACTTTATCCAAGATAAGATTCTGATGGCACATAAGTGGTACATGTCATCTAATTCACTGGGAGGCAGAACTTGTGTTGTGATACCTTGTCTGAGTTTGGACTTTTAAGTTTTTTAAATTTCGACATGTCTCCTGATGTGTAATGATGTTTCATTTGTCATTTATGCCTTTTTCCTGTTGTATCTTACATTGATTGTATGTATCTGGTTTTGGTCGTCTATTAACTTGCACTATTATTCTCTTATTTTTCCATTTGTATTTGTTGTTGGGTGATACATTTGTGTTTGGATGTTTCATAATTATTCCATTTGGTTTGGTTTTGAGTATTCTTTACTCAAGAGGGGGGATTGTTATGGATTAATTATGTATATCTGTTCTACCTTGACACTGTCCAGTAATCAAATCTTATTATAACCAGTTTTGGCTGTTTTACTCTATCGGCCAGACTTCAAGACTCCAGCAATGTATGACCGCTTTAATTTCTGATAAGGTGTTTCCAGGCTGACAGTCCTATCATTTGGTTAGATGGTTACAGTTGGCGATCTGTGATTGGTTATAAGCATATCACATGATGTTATCATGATGTTATATTATTGGCTGCTCTCTGCTGACGTGGCAGTCACAACTCAACAGACTTCCTGATTGACGGTCTGCTTTGTTGTCGCTCAGAATTAAATCATTTGACAACCATACACGCAGACTTTCTGTGCATTTATTCCAACGTGTTTCTGCATTCTTGGTAAACCATGCCACGACACTTTCACAAAGCTGTTCTGATTTAAATTGGCCTGAGGCACTTTGATTTCTCTTCTTATCTACTGTACAATTAATTAAACAACTAACTTCAAGTTAGTAATAAAATTACTAATCCTTAATCTGACCAGATTTTTACCAACACTTCTCTCCTAATTGACAAAACTTTATAGTTTCTTAAACTGGGTCATTTATCAGTTAACCAATATAAGACAAAAATATGTCCTTTTGAAAAATATATTATTCCTTCTTAAAAGGGTTAGACATCAACCTTAACTTAAACATAGACTAAAAAACATCAAGTCTACTTTATTTTTAATTTTGAACTGTTTTCTAAGCCGTTATTAACTTTGTTTGTTATATTATTAATTTGTACTATTTATTCATTTTTCTATGAGGTATTATTTTTCTGTTTTTGTAATAAATTATCAAAAAGCAAAGTTAGTTTCTTCATCATTGAATATTCTAGGTTTATTTAAAGAGTTCAGATTCAGGCGTTTCTCAGAGATTCTCTAACTGGACTCTGGATGCCACTAAATACAGCGGGTAAAATAAGTATTGAACACGTCACCATTTTTCTCAGTAAATATATTACTAGAGGTGCTAATGACATGAAATTTTCACCAGATGTTGGTAACAACCCAAGTGATCCATACATACAAAGAAATCAAATATTGAACACATGAAGAAAGGGAGGTGTAAAAAGGCATGGAAAGCCAAGACACCAGCTGAACTCTCTCAGTAA